CTAAAACAAAATATTAATTTAATTGTACAACTATATAATATAATACCTTAACTCTTGAAGTCTAAAAAAAAAAAATACTTACACCACTCCCTTCTAATTTGTTCTCTAAGAATTTTAATTCCTTCTCCAAATCTCTGATTTGTTTAAGCTAAACAAGTAATAATAGTACAGTTTTTGTAGCATGAAACATGTATAGGTGAAATTGTATACTAACAGTGTTTTCTTTATCAGTTTTTCCATACTTGAGTCTCATATCTAAACCTTTAATTTGGGAGTCAACAGTATTCAGTTCCGACTCTTTGCGTGATTTCTTCATAGCATCTCGCAATTCTTCAGATAATTTTTCCTTAAAAAAAACTCGACAATAGAATACATAAAAAATATTACAAAAATTCACATTACTTTAGAAGCTTTCAATTGAGTCATATGTTTTTCATCCCAACGTTTTGCTTTACGAGCTAAATCCAAACTACCTCCAGATATAATACCAGATTTTTGATAAAATGTTCCATCTAAAGCTACAGCCTAATTAAAACAAAGTAATAAACTTGATAAAAATAATACTTTCAAAATTATTTTTATATTTTAACCAGCTGGAAAATAATTTTGTCCAAAGAGAAATACAAGAAATGTTATTTATAAGTTTATAAAAGTAACATAAAATTATTTTAATCTTACGTCATATCTTCCATCTCTTTCAAGTTCATAAGCCACGTGATTGGCGTCTTCGGGTGATTCACATACTAGTGCATTGTTGGTAGCAAACAAAACAACTCTATCAATTTCTGGATCAAATTCCAGTACATCATACATGAGCTTGACATTGTGTGGACGATTTATGTTTCGCAATCTCTCCTTAAGTGGTTTTGTTTGCAAATAATCAATGGGCAAAAATGTTTCCGGGTCCAACATGTGATCCTTCAGGTATTGAATGCACAGACGTGCAGTTTTCTCAGAATCCACGATAATGGCCTCCATGTACTTACCTAACACCTTTGTAATTGCTACATTGTAACGGTTGCTAATAGGATGACACATGTTGATCAAGCGGTCATACTAAAAATAGTTATTTAAACAAAGAATTAAAAATTAAAACACACTACTCTTGACTAACAAAAAACTTACCACTCCTGGATATGCTTTTTTGAAATTTTCAACTAGCTCTTGTTTCTTTTTACGTCTGTTATCGTCATGTTTGTCAACTTTAGCATCACCCAACTGTTCTGTAACATTATCTAAATCCCTTTGAAGCTTGGACACTTTATCTTTGGATGAACCAACATCTTTGCGGAGTTCATCATATAAACGTCTCTGTTCTTCCAATGCATTTTCACTAGATTTTATATGTTCAGTTAATTTGTCTACTCGCTTTTGGGCTTCTTCTTTTTCATGAGTTTTCTGTTTTATTTTATTTTCAAGTTCTGATCTCAAGCGTAACTCATTATCTAACCTATCCTGATCAGCTTTTTGTTCTCTGTTGATAGAGTCTAGTTCTTGTAAAAATAACGCAGATTGTTTACGAGCATCAATTTTTAAATTATTATACTCCGAAACCTAAAAATTAAAAAGGCAATACAAATATTTTCTCTTATCATTTAATATCGACAAAAAGATCATTTCAAACAAAACTTAGTACAAAACGATCAAAAATACCTGAGCATCTTCCAACTGTACATCTCTTCCCTGACTATGACTTTCACCAGCCACTTGTTCTTCATAATCATGGCGCCGTTTTTCAACTTCTTTAAGTTCAGCTTCCAATTCATCAATATCTTTCTTGTGAGCATCATTGGCCGTCACTACTTCGGCTAATGATTTTTTTGCAGTGTTTAATTTCTTACGTATATGTGCCACTCTTTCTTTGGACTTGATGAATGAAGGACGTTTTTTATTAATCTCTACTTCCTAAAAATTAAAACCAAACATGCTTTAAATTCAATTTAATTAAGACAATAAGAAGTGTGACTCAATATTTATACATGTACTGAAACTATAAAATATATGCATAAATAATCGAATAAATAATTATTAATATATATGCACTTACATACAAATAAAGTTTAATTAGAAAAAACATTTCATCATGCAATCATTGCAATTGTTACTATTCTCTATAACTATAGGTAAATAGATGCAAATATGCATTATCGGTAAGGTATTAATATTTGGCAATGATTAGAATTGTTGGACTTGATATCTGATGATTATAATATAAGTCTGTATCAAATTAAATAAATAATTTACATAAACGATATACTTTATAATATATAGTAGTCGGTCATATATGTAAAATGTAAATGCATAAATCCCATCTCCCTAGATATGATAAAGTGAAAAATCAAAATTGTGCCTTACAATTTCTCTGATTTCTTGTTCAACTTTGGCCAAATCACGACTAGCCTTGCCTTGCTCCTTTTTTTTTTCCTTTACCACTTCTTCGGCTTTTTCTTTTTTACTTTCTACTTTAGCAACTTCTTTTTTACGGTCTTCTAAATCTTGTTCATAGTTTTTTATCATGTTCTCATTTTGATATAGACGGAACAACTGATATTCAACTTCTTTTTGTGCCTAAAAATATTTTAAAGTTATAATACTCATTACGGGTAACCGGTATTACCAATTTAGTTACTTGGTCATATCTAATCTAATATTTAATAAATAATATTTTTTAGTATTTACTAATTCATCCTTGAGTTTCTGATATTTTTCAGCTTCTTCTTTCTCTAACTTTGCTTCTTTACGCTCGGCAGCGACTCCTCTTTTTTTCAAGTATGTGAAGTTAGTTTCTTCTTCTGCTTTCATTACTTCTGCTTTCAATCGATCATAATCTTCTTTTAGTGCACCAGAACTAAAAAAATATGGTTATTCCATAAATAATGTATTTCAAAATACATAAATTAATATAAAAGTACTTACCCACTAATTTCTTCAAATAACGCGGTTCTTTCTTTTGGATTTTTCATAGCAATTGATTCAACTGCACCTTGAAATACCAAAAAATTTTTTGCCTTTACATTTACACCAATCTGTTCTAACTGTGCAAAATATTCTTGATTGGGGACCGACTACAATAACACCAAATATTCATTTAAATAACCAATTTGAGTATATAACATATCTAACTAAAATATATACTTCATCGTTGATTCGATAATCTGATGACGACCCTTGCACAGTCCTAGTAAATCGTTTTTCAGTTCCTTCACTATCCATTTTGAAAACTGCAGTTACACTAGCACTGTAAAAAAAGGTAATTTTTTAATAAAAAAATAAAACTAATTAAAAATGTTCATCAGATGTCAATTATTCTACTAATTAATACATTCAATAAATCACCATTATGAAAGACAAATTTACCTGCGAGAGACAGGTTGCCCAACCGAAGCTCCATGAATAAGATCACTAAGACGTTTTACTCGGAGACAGGTAGTTTTTTCACCCATAACAAAACTTATAGCATCCATAAAGTTAGATTTACCTGTAAAACAACAAACAATGGAATTATTGTAAAGCAAAACAATATATTACACTGTCAAACCATTAAATTTATCTAACTCACCAGAACCATTGGGTCCAATAACGGCTGTAAAGTTCTTCAGAGGCCCAATCATATGATGACCCCTGTAGGACTTAAAGTTGTCCATTTCGATGCATTTTAGTACTGGCGGCATGATGATGGATTATCCGTCAGCGATTATTAGGACATAATATACATGAACGCCACACGAAAATAAAAATAAAATATTCAAAGCAAACGTAATTGGTCACACAAACAACACTGTACCTATACTATAATGTCTAATCAAATTATTTGATCAATTAATAATTACAATTTAAATTGAAACCTATATTATGATTGCAAACACTAGTTAGATGGGTATGGGTACAATTTAATATTTATTACGGAAAAAGAAAAATATTGAATAAAACAAACCAGTAGTAAGTTTACAGCATATAGTCAGAAAACGTAAACGAATAACGAGGAGATAACACAGAAAATAAACAAACACACCACACCATGAATGTCAATCCGATTCTGATAACGTTCGGCTGCCAAAACAACAAATATTTCCCCCACCTCAAAAAATCAACACAATTTTCATAAATTTCGGAAAATATGCCCTCAAACTGGCTAAACCCGTATTGTTTTGTGCCCATATTATACTAAACATCAAATACAGTTTTGTGAAATCTACTAATAGTACCCCACCATGGCACCATAGAACAATAACGCAGAAAATAATGCTATAAACGCGATTAGCGTGCAGGTGCAGATAGTTTTTAATTTTTTTCCCGCGCTTCCATCATTGAACTTATAATAATCAAATAATGTTAGTAAATACTAAATACTAAATAGAATTCGGCTCTCTAGTGTCCACAAATTTCTATTTAGTACAAACTACAAAAAATAAGTTTTACAGAAGGTGCGGCTTTCATCTGTTTTATCAGTTAGTTACTTAGTTACGGCTTTCGAGTTTCGGCTATAGTTAAGTCAATCGTCTGTAGATAGTAAATATTTTATTGTCATGATAAAATTCCATACACGGACTAAGATATACAGGACTGGACACGAGATGAATATTGTGGTTACGAAATGTTTTACAACAGGCGGAGTTCGGGGGGATATTTTCCTTTTAGCATTACTAGCGCCGTCTTAGTGGATACTTATGGAACTAGAAATTTGTATGATGTGTTCTAGTATCCACTAGGACAGCGCTAGTAATGCTAAAAGGAAAATATCCCCCCGAACACTGCCTGTTGTAAAACATTTCGTAGTCAACCACTCAACCCCCCCCACACCCTCCAACCTTATCGTGTCCAGTCCTGTATATCTTAGTCCGTGCTTCCATATGACCATATTATAGTTATGGAATATGGATGCTGTGTGATAAAATAACAAAGTAATAACAAAATAATTTTATGGTGGTAAATGAATTATAATTATTAATGTGTAGTACCGTCTACGGTGTGCTTAAATTAGTTTAATTATAATTTATAAAATGTCTTGTTGTGTACCAAACTGTCCTTTTCGTGATAAATATTTAAAAAATATTAGTTTCTGTGTCCCACAAGACCTTAATGCACGGTCCACATGGGAGAGAGTCTTAGGAATTAATTTCGATAATAATTCTCGAGTTTGTCGCCAACACTTCAGTGACATTGATATTATAGAAACATGTGTTCCTGGAGTAGAGAATGATAAATATCCTGTAGGTATTCAGTTATTTATTTAAAAATCATTATTGTAATTATTCTATTTATTTCTAGATGTGCTTGAATAAACCTATGCTTCGTGATGAAGCCATTCCTATACAGGTTAGAGAAATGGATCGTTACAATGATGGATCAATAATTTTAGTAAATATCTACATATATACCCGATACCATATAAATAAAATATGTAATTCAAATACCATCAGTATATAGATATATTCCTCAATATGTATCTATTTTTTTAAGAATGACAAAACTAATATTTCAAACAATATTGGTACTAGCTGTCGTGGAGATGTACATGATTTACTATCTTCTATAAACGGTGATCATTGTTACACTACAATACAGATACAGGAACACAAAGTAGCTGAAGTAAATCAAGTTTTTGGTGCTGGTACAATGAATGGTCTAAAAAGAGATGCAGCATTATTCAATGTTGAATTAACATCCTCAATATCTAAAAGAATAAAGGTACTACTACTACTATAAAATTACATATGATTTAATTTTTATTACTGTGCTTAACATTTTTTACTATCTATAGCCGTCAAAAACATGGTGGTAGTGTGGTATTCCAGTTCCGGCCAGGATTCTGCCAAAATCTTTAATCAACTATACGTCTGGAAAAACTGTGCAGCCTCCTAACGGTCGCGCCGACCACAGCCAATGAGACTGCACATGCACAAACCGCGATTCATTTCTGTCAGGATTTTTTTCCACACTTATTTGGAATAGAGTTTATCTAATTTTAATAACCGTAGGTCTACGTGTAATTGTAATTTAATAATTTACATATTATTATTGTTTTGTTGGTTATCACTTATCATTGTAATTTAGATTTTTAACAGAGCGATGAATCTTGACTATTGATTTTTATTTTATTTTTTTGTCTTATTTTTTTCACCTTTCAGAACAGTAAAAATATTTCAATCTTCAACATACCTGGTAAATTATCGAGTATGTTTGTCGAAAAAAGTTGTCAATAAAAGTAGAAACCTAGTATCAGGGGCGTCATTTCCCTTTTTTCATGGGATGCAAAACCAACATTGAAAATCTGAAGTAATACCAGTAGCTCTCATGGTCGAGTCATCCCATGAATTTTTTTCAACACACTGTGTAAATGTAGATCATTTCATAGAAATTATAGTATAAAACAAATAACAATAATTTTGTTAACATAAATGTTTTTTATTATGATATAACCCCCCAATAGTATATGGATCACTACAGCTAATTGTTAAAAAAATCAATTAGACAAGGCTGTGCATAAACGAGTTAAAAAGTTAATTTAATTTTAACTTTTTAAATTAACTAGTTACTTTTGGCTTTTCATTAACTTAATAAATTTCTCTTTTAAATAACATGAAATTAACGAGTTAATTTTTCACTTTAAGGAGTTAAGTTAATTTATTTTGTTTTTAATTTTATTATATTTTACTATTTCAGTATATTTCGTTTCATGTCAAAAAATATTTACTGTAAATTGTTTAGGGCCAGTTGTACCGTCTACGGTTAAACTATGATTAAGCTTAATCAGCTGATAACAGATATTTAAACAGGCAAATTCGGCCAATCATAGACGGTACAACTGGCCCTTAGAGTTTAAAATTTATATCATTCAAATCTAATTTATATGGAAATACTGTATAAAGTAAAAACACTATATATCTATAATTTAGTTTTGGGTTGGAAAAAATTAAAAAATAAAGTACCTACTCTAACCTTGTATAAACAAATTAACTTTTTTTCAACTTCAAAAAAATTAACAAAAAAAGTGTATTAACTTTTAACTTAAAAGAGTTAACCTATAGTTAAATTTACTTTTTACTTTTTATTATTGTTGTATATTAACATTTAACTTAACTTAACTGAGTTAAAAAAAACATTAACATGCCCAGCCTTGCAATTAGATAATACAACTGATCAAAATTAACTTTATTTTAACATTGCCTCTTAGTACAGCTTCCAATTAACGTTAAAAAAAAACTAAATTACCTAGTAGATTTTCATAAAAAAATGTGTATACACCAACTAATATAATTAAGAAGTAATGTATGTTTAAATATAATATAATAAATTACAATAAAGGATATCTTCTAGATTTTAATTTAGCAAAAATATCTACTGCTTCATTAAGATCTAGTGTATCAGCTTCTACTTTTTCAGTTGCAATAACTATTATAAATCACTTAACCTGTTATCTCCCATTGTAAGGGCAAATAATTTTTCACTATTTTTAATGTCGAAAAAAGGCATTCATTGGAAGCAGTGCTAACAGGCAATGTTAAAATTATTGTTAATATTTTTAAGGTTTCTACAAAAGCAGATGGTAGTTTGGATAGCATTTCCGTTAGTGTTATTATATCAGAATTAATTTCTTTTTCTTTAAGTAGTGCTTGGATGGAAGAAAATTCAGAAGATAAATATATAGAATTAATTTTAAAATACCTTTAATGGTTAAGATATTTTTAAGATAAACAGAATTTAATTTCAAAAACTAATCACTGTTAGAGTTAAAAATTTCCATAAACATCAAAATTGACACATAAAAAAAATTACAAAATTATATTACATAAATTATTTTATGAAATGATTTACACAAAATGTATGTAAAAAAACAATTCATGGGATGCATTTGCATACCCTTGCATCCCATAAATGACGCCACTGTCTAAAATATTTCATTTTAGCCTTTAGGTGCAAACTAAAAGGGCATACCCTCTAATAAATTTAGATTGGGTTTCATATTATTGAACAATGGGCTGTTATAATTTATGTCTATTTTTTTAAATTGTATCCATTCGTTATGTCTTAGAAATGTTTATTACAACTAGACATACTTTTAGGTTTATTTTGTTAATTTATCTTTTATTAAATGTTTTTTTCTTTATAGATATGTTACGTTATTGATGCACTAAATTATAATTTTTATACATTTTACTTGTTTTTTTAAACATTTATATCCTCACCAAAATTATAAAATTAATTAACATTATAATATCTTGATCATCAAAAAGTATTAATTTTTTTGTTGGGTAATGTAACTCTCTAAGTCCCAACCATACCACAAACAGTGCTTTAGGGTGGTAGGTATATTTTATAAACCAAAATTGTTTTTTTTTTTTTATTTAGAACCAGGGCTTGTAAACGTTATATTTGACAAATAACGATAGAAATTTGTAAACATAATTAAAACGGAAAGCGATAATCAAAAATAATTAAACACCGCAAAACAAAGCATAACGAATAACAAAATATATAATATATCATTAAACAAAAAATAACGCAAAACAAAATTATTTGAAAATTTAAAATTCATTTATTTAAAAGTAAGGTACTTATATTGGTTTCGTAGAAATATATTTTATTTCATGCTATTTATTTTTGTCCTAGAAAAAAATCTAAGAATTGATTATATTATATTTCGTATCCGGGACATTACCTACCCTCATTTTTTGGAGTTATTGATAATTTTTAAATTGAATTGATAAAAAGTAAATACCTAGTATAATAATAATAATTATTATTATTAATATTAATAATGATTAATGATGCCCCGATAATTGCGCTGTAGAAGTATAGTATAGACTTATTTTGTATTCACTCTGTAGTCTGTACTACTGCGGTCCTCTTGTGAGTGTTAGTATACTGTTGTTATAACATCCGTTTTATTTATATTAGCTACATATTAAAACAAATAACGCAATCATGGGTAGAATAATCTCTACCCCAGTACTGAAAATTGCAGAGGTGCTTATTAACTTAACTAGTTAATTATTTTTGTTTTTAGCTTATTAACTTGTTCAGTTAAAATTTCCAACGTAATTATATAAAATACCTAGGTGTTAGGTATATAGAATACCATTTATACCAATATTAAATATTAATAAATAATAAATTATAATTTTCTGTTAAGATTGTTGGAAAATATTGGTAAAATAACGTTTTTATTCTAAATAACGATAAACACAAAACTTGGATAACGTTTTAATTCTGAATAACGATAAACGCAAAAATTGTGTAATGTTTTAATTGTAAATAAAGTAAAAACGGAATTTTTTTTTCAAATGCAAGGCCTGTTTAGAACAAAGTTATGCACATATTGATTGCTGAAAAATTATCCAAAATAAATATTGCCTAATTACTAAATACAATATCGTGAATATTATTTTAATTTTATAACTTTTTAATAAAGATAAATTTGTGCTCAAGGTTATGGTATAGTTATAATTTAAATATGACTTAGTAGTTTAGTAATCATTTTTTGAGGATCTTCTTATTTAACAGTGGTGGAGAAATGAGTGTGAGATATTTAATAAGCATTTTTTATGCGTTTGATCATATTATTGAAATTTAATTTAATAATTTGTTTTAAGACAATGTAGGCCATTATATTATTTTTAAAAAGAAACAATTAAAACTATTGGAATGTATCCAAGTATTCAATCTTGAATTGAAAATATTACACTGTCCCTACATAGTACATACACTTTTTACATTCACATTTAAAGGCACTAGTACAATAACTAGAAATGTTAATTTTTTTAAATTCTTTCCAGACATTTTTTTTTAATAAACAAGTATAAATAACTTAGAGGCACAATAGGTTTATGTGGTTAGAGTATAAAATTAACAGGCACACTTGATGTGAGGTGTCATCTACTAATGGCATAAGAACTAAAAGCTTCGTAAATTAATCAACAAAAAAAAACATTATTAGTAAGAATATGATATACCAATTAATACCATTTCCTTTGATATGCCTACAATATTCATGGTAATAATTCAAAAAAAAAAACTATACAATATTAATAGTTACAATAACAAGTTATGTGCAATTTTGATTTTGGATATGACTGGATTTTGTAAATTATCTGGTAAATCCTAGCTGGTGGTATTAAAAATTGTAATACTGGTATTCTTCATGTTTTTATAAGCAGTATCAACGGTATTACCAATAATACTGTATTTTTCATTATTATAGTAATTACTGGATAATGGAATACCAGTATTCTCAAATTCTAAAAAATACCTGGATACTAGGAATTAACCAATATCGGTATATATTATGTTGAAAATAAAGCCAGCTCTAAGCTACCTAAATGCATATGTATGTAAATAACAATTATTTTTACATGCAATTAAAAAATCTGACTTTTTAAACCGATTATTATATTGGATAGAATAACAAAACTCAAATAAAACCTTTAGGATAATTTAATGAAAAAAAAAAATTTTAAGTGTATTTTTACATAAAAATAAGTAGACTTATCTGGTTATTACACCGGTGCCGTCATTTTAAACATCAATACTTGATAAGATACATTTTAATTAATTATATTTTAATAAAATACAAATATTAAGAATGGTATTTCTTAATGATGAATTATTAATTAATATTTAAAAATAAAATTATATAGAAATATCAGTCATATTATCAAAATTATCTATAGAGGCATAAATTGTTTTATAAAATGAATCTATACTACTATCAGGTATTGCTTGAGATGGTGAAATAAGAGTAAAACCACTTTGAGTTCCAATCGCCAACCAACGAAAAGAATTAAAATTCTGGTTCCAAGATACCTGTTAAATATAAAAACTATTATAAATTATACTTTTGTACAATACATTAAAAATATAATTTTCACCTTAGTTATATTATCAAGAGGATATCTTAACAAAGGTTTGCTGTCATCTTGGTCTTTCGATTCCTTTTCATTTAAAAAAAACTAGCAACAGAATAAACACATAAAATATTTTTGTTTTTAGAGGAATTAAAATACTTACAAGATTAGATTCAAGTCCAAATTTTTTAACTGTTTCATTAAAACGGTAACCATCAGAATACTCTGATTGAGTATTATCATTTGATAATAATTGTCTTACCATCAATTGAAGTACTGTCTGAAATAAAAGATAAATATCATATACTACTAATCAGAGGTGTGCTGAATAGTAATTTTTTGAGGCAATTGCCTCAGGGAAAATTTGGGTAGGTGGGTGGGTGTGTTGGTATAGATGTGCAACTTATACCTAAAAAAACTAAATAATATTTATTATTTTGAATAATAAAAAAAAAATAGTGAAAAAACTGTTGGTGGTGGGGAGGGGGATCAAATTGTATAGTTTGCCTCAAGTCTGCTTGTCAGTTCGGCACGCCACTGCTACTAATCAAAACAATGTATTGATTCAAACTAAAACAAGATGATATAATAAATATTTTGGGACTCCTCGCATTATTTTAGATAAGTTATAAATTTGTCTTATGAAATTTTTTAAATGTCTAATCAAACAAAGTTTGAATTTGCATATTTTAGAAAAAGTGTACATTTGAGCGATTTTTCGCATATTTTGCATTTTTCTAACTTCAATGTAGGTACATACAATTGTCGGGAAAAATCATATTTGGATAACATTCAAAAATATCTTTAAAAATATTATGTTTGGTGAGGTACAATAGGCTCTAATTTTGAGATTTGGGGAGGCCGAAGCCTAAAACCATACTATTATAAAATTGAATTAAAAAATGTAGTAAATGATTGGGAGGGCTGTTAAAGTTGTTGGTGGAGCTTGGCTATACAGTTTGCCTTATTTTCGCATATGGTATGTAAGATTTAATAAGTCTCTTTGTGACAAGACTGTGTTAAAACTATAATTGACATCTACATTCTAGATTGTACAAAGAAATGAAAATCAGTAGATATACGTGTTCGTTTATTACGGTGTTCGCATATCACGTTATTCTTCATTACATATTTATTAACCTAGTATTTTATTCCAGTATTTTTAAAAATCAAGTTGTTTTATTTCACAATAGTTTAAAAATGTCCAAAACATGCAATAGTGTACTCCGTCCATCACATTAATCAATATAGGTACCTACCTATATTACAATTAGTAAGCCCGTGTATAAATAACTACTTATTTTTTAGTTTTTTATTACCAAAATTGTAGTATGTTTTATGAATTTTTCAAAAATAATATAAAAATGTAGCTGCATATATTTAAGAATATTTTGACAACTTTGACTGCATCATATTTCGATAATATTTAGTGCAACAAGTCAAGTCCCGATTCCTAAATTTATGGGAGTTAGCTGTTCCGTTAACAATGTCATTTTATGTTATTAATACAATTCATCAAATTTAATTTATTGAAAATGAAATTATTACATAACCTCCTGGAAAAGCTTCCAAATGACATCAAAGCAATTATTGACATATATAAAACAGATGAAAGTGATGGAACGTGTAGAATTTTTAGGGATTTAGTTTCCTTATTAAAGTAGCACCTTCAAGTGTCATAATGGTATCTATATTTGAATATGAACAAACATTTTTTCAAAATAGAAATACATTACATTTCTATAAAAACAGAATAAAAATTATAAATATAATTTAACTATAATAAACTTACTGAGTTTCCTTTTCCTATATTATTGGTTTCTGATAGAAACAGCTTTTCATAAATAACTCCATTTTCGTTTCCAGTAGCTATGACATTCGTCCAATCCGAAGTAGATACAGACTAAAATATTTTGTAAAATTTACTAATTTAGTACATTTATAATTATTAAAAAAAACTATTAACAAACCCAATGAGTACTCTTTTGATAAAAAGCAGGACCATAAAAATCTTCCTCATCAATGTTTTTTAGTAAATCTCCAGATTTTCCTGCATTATATGATTTATCTTGATCACTATTTGCACTTGAATCATCAGATTTATATGATTCGCCATCACCACTTATATTGGATTCATTAAGAGTTTTGTTTTCATCAGTGTCATCACAATTTATTTTTTCATCGTTCTTTACTTCATCACAGTTACCGAGTATTTTATTTCTATCAATTACACTTTTTAGAACATATAACTCGGGATTATAACCATCAAGATCATCGTCACAATTTGAAAAATTAATAGTCCGAACTTTTGAGAATACGGGACTGTTAAATAATATGTATAAATCAGTCAATAAATATTTTTAATATTACCATGCAATCAACCAACCAACTTACTTCACAACTTTACTACAATACACCAATGTGTAACACTGCTGAAGCCAAGTACAATCAGATGGACAATGAGATTTCTTTTGAAAGATAGGGTTTTCAGTAGACTTCAAATCCCATAGAGTTACATTACCATCAGTTGCCGAAGTAGCCAATATTGAAATATTAAAATAATTCATAGAAAGACCTTAAAAACAATTCACACTATTCTCATAACAAAGTAAATTATGTGCAAGAAGTAAATAATAAGCTAACCAGTTATACAACTTCTACTTGCTATGAAAGTATGACTTGGATAAAGTATATCATTAATTAAGAATATTGATTTGAAATTTATATGGAACACACTCACAACACCATTTGAATATCCACAAATAAGAGTTCTGAAAAATGATGTCAAAATGTTAATATCAGTATATAAATTACAGTAAATTAAGTAAGTACTATACACCAGTCCTGTCTCCTACCATATTTCCAATAATATACAATATTTTTTCCCAGTTCTAATATCTTGATTCTACAATGAACAACTAAACATTCTTTAAGACAATATTATATAATGAAATAGAATGCTATAATTATTATTACAACAATTTTTGAAGTTAAAACAATTGGAAATCAACTATCAGATGGTGACGTCTTAAATTACTAATCAACTTTACTATTTTTGTATAATGTATATATATTGTATAATTGTTAAATTGCTATTGTAATGTAAAAATTATTATTTAACTGTGCATAAATTATCTATAGTTTTTACTTAATTACATTAATATTATTGGATAAACAAAAATGTCAAAAATTGTAATTCTATATACCTAAGTTTAGATGATAAATGTCAGGAAAACTTAAAAAAAAAGAAACTTACGTTTTAAAAAACAATCTGGTTTTACATAGATACATTATTTTATCACTATTGACATCAGCATTAGTAGCAAGTACTATGTACAAGCACTATAGCGACCAGTCTAGCTTATCTCCAACCACCACTATGGGATGCAAGCAGCGCGACCGGGTTGACTCTCCCACCGAGCCGGACGGGGGATTGTGTCGCGTAAGACGTACAACGGTCGGCAGAAAAGGCGATTCAAGTATCCACCAGGGGCGTAGCGTGCATGTAAGCACTGTAAGCACTGCTTACACTTTAAATGAAAGAAAAATAAATTTGATCAATCACGAGTCACGACTAATAGGTACATAATAAATGATTTTTAAAATTTTAATTTTATTTATACAATATTTAAGTTATAGCTGGTAGTGGTATTTGTTATTGTTTATTTGTGTCGTACGCTGTCTACTGATTACCAACTAATTTAAGAAAATCATCGATTGTAGGTCTATTTTTAATCCATTCTGTATTATGTTAATTGCATAATCAGAATACGATGTACATACGTACAGTGTAACTCATTCTGAAATTGTTTACGCGCAACTGTTGTTTTCGAATAGTCTATAATGCCATAGTGGGGGCCACGTATTTAACTAGCGTTTGTAAGCACATTTGATTTTGCTTACGCGAGAAACAAGGAGCGTAGCCCGACGTGTTGTAGACTGTAGTCGTTTTTACGTACACTGTCACTGTCATTCGCCTAATAGACTTTTGAAGTATTTATACTTCAATTTCTTTATTTTCTCGAATTTGATTTGTACAACTAGTATATTTTTTAAAATATTAAAAATTTTAAAAGGATAACATTTTTTTATACATAATTTATAATTAGATATTTAGGTATAGTACCTATATTCTAATCACTTTTGAAAAAAAAATTTCACTGCTTACATCTTTTTAATACCCACGCCACGCCACTGGTATCCACCATCGGACCGATAGCATAATATCATCCGACGTTAAAATCATCGCCCGAGAGGCGCGATACATATTTTGGTCGTAATGATATAATACATATTTAAAGTGACAATCATTAAGTGTTTGTGTTGTGCTTTTTCATCACCTCAATCTAACCAGACACTTCGACCAGACCACGATCAACCTCGATTCAATCATCGAAATATCAAAATACACAGTAGATAATATCTTAGTATGTGATGTAAATTGATATATTTTATTGTTTAATGTGTTACTAAATGTTTAATTATATTCATGTGATATATTATAGTCTGAAGAGTTTACAAGAAAATTGTTGTTCTTACTTGAATGGTGAAACTGGCTGCCAACAAACTTTTGTACATTGTATACCACCTTCAATCCATTCACATTCAAAATTTCTTGCTATTATATGCTTGGCTTTGTAAATGTAAAACCTAAATAAGTTCATTGAATACCATTAGTTTTTATTTCATTAATAAATTTGTTATCCATTTTAAGCAATACATTTCTGAGATATCATCCATAAAAGGCATAGCAAATACAGGACAATCTCCACAAGATGTACTTAAAGCCAACAATCCTATTTTTTGTGGAGGTTCATAAGCTCCAGAAGGGCACCATGCCATATCCCAGACAGCACATAATCATGAGCCAGACCATATAGACATATGTGGCGTACAAAAGGCGGATTCATCGCTGAAGAACTATTAAAATATGTATAATCCAATAGTATTAAACCATTTATATGATTAATACTATATAATTATAATAACCTTGAATAGGTCTAAAAATAAAATTCCACTATACAAAGCTTACATAATATTTGTCAATGAATCGAATCTCCATAACTGCACAAGAGACGGATATTGATAAATTTCCATCTCTTTATGCTCCAGATCAGGTTTAGGATGACATGATATTGCCAAATACTGTGTTTGAACTTCCTTTGGAACAGGACACCATGACATAGCCCAATTAGGACCACCAGTAAACAGCCAATGCATACCTATAAAATAAATGTAAGATTATTTAAAAAATATTGAAAGCATATCAGCAGTAAATAATATACCATTGACATAAACAGACTTAAAAAGATCAACACAAATTTGTTCATCATTTGAACTAAATATCTTGCAAGATTGTTGAATAGATGGTAGATACTTTAATGCTTCATCATTTGTTAAGACGATAACATCAGTTTAAAATCTTTGTGACAAACATCCTTCCAAAAGGTTTTTGTGAAGCTTAAAAATAAAAATAATTTAAATGTTGCTAATGAATAAAAATTAAATAATTATTAATTAAGTTATGATTTTGATCTTACAATTATAATAATTTAATAAAGGCTTTAAGTAGATATTTTTGTGTCCTCATATTATCTGTTAAAAAAAATTAAATTACATAATATTAAATTAATATGTTATAAAAAAATATTTAATTCAACACATAAATTACAACTTACTTAGTGTATAATTGTTTAAGCTATCTTTTTTTTAATTAAAAACATATCATGAACGTTCAAAATATGATCAACAATGTCATTGACATTTATTGTAATAAAATTACATAAACGACACACACAAATCCGGTAAAAAAAATAATTGAAAAATATATTTGCTTATATTAAGTTAAAAATTAAAGTCCTACATGATATTCAGTAATATATTTAGTATCTGGATGAAAACTTAACACGTTAGGAGGCCTTCTTTTCCGGCGCATTTTGTAAAGGTCTTTAGACTAAAAAATAAGACAAAATAAGAGGTATTTATATAATATTAGACGTAATACATAATCAATGTTACTACCATTTAGAAAAATGTCAACTCACATTGTCATTGATGTTATTACTATTTTCTATGTTATTCACACCTCTACAAGTTTTCAGTTTGTGAGTTATTAATGACGATGGTTTAACTTTATTTCCACAGTCTTCACACCCGCATAACAAATGTGTAATGTCCTAAAAAGTAATATATTGATTTATTTGGAGGAAACAAGTGTTGGGTGTTCATCATATGCTAAACCTTGTATATATATTATTAGGCATTGTAATTTTGAAGTATAAATACAAGGGATTTTTAAAAAAAATTTTCATAAGGCAACCTAGTTAACGATAGTTTTAATGATTATTGTTAAAAAAAATTTACATTCCTCACTCTTTCGATCTAAACTAATTATTTTAAAATGGGCTAATATTTAGATAATTATTATATGATAGAATTATTACAATTATTTAATAATATGACTTACATCAGGAGTTTTATTACAAAATATTACATGGCTCGCAAACCCTGAAAGACTTCTTTTAATAGTTTTACAATCTTCACAACACAACTTTACTCCACGTTTACGTACAACTTTAAAAGGTATGAATTGTCTTAATTTATTTAATACGGTATCATAATTTCCTAAATCCTAATAAAAAACAAATAAATAAATAAAATATGACTGATTAAAATAATCTTGGTTTAATAATAATATTATTGTCTATTTAATCAAACTATACTTACAAGTATTTCTTCACCATCAATCCAACATAAATTAAAATGTTTGGAATAGTGCTTGGTACGATATTCATTAAAAGTCATTTCTTTTTTACAGCGGCCACAAGTCACCTTAACATTCCACTTTGATTTTAGAAAATGTACATCTATAAATTATAATCAAGTATAATCAGCTTACCATTGAATCGTCACTTTTTTCTATAATTTTTATTTCAGATTTTTTAATTATATCAAGTCCGTTTTCTATTTTGTTGTGCAGTCCCTGTTTATCCTAATATACAATATAAATTGTGAAATATTTATTAAACACATAGTTATATAATTTAATAGTCTTACCGGTCTAGATTGACATCGTTTTACATGGCTAGCAAAACCAACTACACTTTTTTTTTCATTCTGACACCATTCACAAACAAATTTAACTTGTTTTTGGCGTGCGGCATATTTTGGTAAATGTTGTCGTAATAAATATTGTATCGCGTTCTCATCATCAAAATCCTAAAGAAAAAATTTTAATTCAAACTATGTATGTATTTAGGTTAATACAAAACAATGTTCTTTTCCATTATCTGCCACAGTTCCATCTACCTTGGGTGTGAAGGGAATGTCAAATATAAGCTATTCTGTTTTTTGCTGCACTTACAACATTCACATAATACACAGCGTTTTACATATCTATATAACTCTGATACAGCTACAGGTAGGATAGTCAGTTTGTGTGTAAACCATAAAACTAAAAAGGGTGACAGATAATGGAAATGACTACAAAATAAAATTTTTAGCATGAATTCGGGAATCCAACAATTACATTTGGTTTAATTTTTTTATAATTTCTGGAAATATAATAGGTATTATATGATATTAGTCATTACTTGAATTACATAGTATAAAATGTATAAACCTACAATTGTAAGAAAAAAATTACTTACCGGTTTTTCATCACCAATTTTCCAACATAAATTGTAATGTGTTGCACAATGTGTATCTTCATACTCCTTGAACATCATACTTTTATTACAACTACCACAAGTTACCTTAATTTAAAAAAAAAAAAAAATTAAATTAAAATGTAATTTTGTACAAAAACAAACCATGTACATACCATTGAATTGTTTTCACTGATTTCTTCCTCTGTAGGCTGCGGCAAATCAGTCTCATTAGGATGTTGAAGTACAAGCTAAAAAATAAAGCTTTAAGAAAACATACTAATATTGAATAGTTTTTATACAAAACTAAGAACAGTATCTACGTTACATAGAAAACATAGAATTGTGGATATGTTTTTGAGCCTAAAGATGTTATAATCAAATCAAAATTTGTTTCAACTTCCAGTTGGGATAATTTTATTTAAACAATCCAATAAGTAGCATGACTTTTAAATCAATAAAAATAATAGTGAGGCTTGATGAGCATGTAGAATGCAAGGTTGTCATTGAGTTGACGATGCAGATTGTGTATTGTTGTATTTACATCAATAGGCACATTAATAATTTGTCCAATAATTTCTTTTAAGCCGTGTAAAAAATATAGGAGTTAGATTTGCATAAACAGAATTTGCAGCGAAACGAGACATTCAGTGATGATATCAAGGAGGTGACTAGAAGGAGCTTATTCCCCCTCCCCTATATATTTTTAGTTTTAAACACCTGGTCAAAATCAAAATCATTACTTAAAATAAACTGTCATGGGCTCAATTTGTAAAATACTTACATTGTTATTATTTACACATGGTACCAATATAATATATTAATATTTTGGATATACCTTGTACAAGTTTATGTATAAGGATAATCTAAACATACATCAGGTTGAACCATAACATATTCAGTGATCAGGCTATAGTAAAGTTCTAATAAGATATCGATAATGATATTTATAAACATTTGCTGCATCTAAATATTATTGGTGTATACAGTTATAAAGTATATAGTATACTTATTTCATTTTTAATGAGCCTATGGTGATAGCAGGGGTATAACCATAGACCAATAAACTAATGGACAGCGCTTAGAGAGAGAGGCCAGTGGTACGATATAGAGTAAAACAGAAAAGAGAACGTGGGGGAAATACAGTATTAATTTCATACGTCTACGATTACCTCCTTTATGTTCTTTCTCTCTTCGTTCTCTTATATGATTCTCGTGAATTGATGGCAGAACGGAGTGGAACGCTCTGTCCATTAGTTTATAAGTCTATGGGTATAACTGTATGACAATTTCAATATCCGTAACTGTTTGTTCAGATATAAATTGTTTACTTATAGGTCCATCTTCAGACTACATTTCAATTTTGCTTTCCCATCTCAAGTTTGGTTTCCATCGAAGTATTTTGGTACTCTCAACTTTTTAGACCTATTTCTATAATACCTCTGAGTGTATAGTTGACATTTCTGACTCTGACAATATTTTTTAACTTGCTCAAAATATTTCATTTTTTTTTGTCTTAAATTTGAGTATTTCTTCTTTAGAAATTTGTGAAATTTCTCTTCTCTAGTTGTTTAGTACAACTAGTACTTGATGAGAATAGAGTATTTATTAAAAAATTATTAAATTAGCTATTCTAGTTGACGTTGATGCAGACCCCGGATAAAGCTATATCTTAGCCTGTGACGCAGATGTTCACTAATTAACGCTATTATGCTATTATAGCAATAATATTAGTATACAAATAGTAACTTCTGTAGTGTGTAGTACAACAGTCACCAAATGGCGGCCCGAGGGTTAGGTTTTTCAAATTTTCAATTGACCCTCAGCCCAAAAACATATCCATGTTAATTTATTTTCATGACAATAAAAAACTGGTTTATAGAGTTGAAAAAATGATTACCTTTTGTTCTATGGCACATTTTTTCACATGAGAAGCAAAGCCTAACACAGTTTTTTGCAAATCTTTACACCATTCACATATATATTTTTTTTTAACAGTAGTGTTTGGTAAAATTTCACGGAGTAAAACAACCATTCTGTTCTCATTTAAATAATCCTAAAAAATAAATAGTCTTTAAATATTTAATATATACCTACTTACAATACAAATCAGTAATTATATATATATTTTTTATTATTAAAAGTAATATTGTAACATACTAATTTTTCTTCTCCTTCTAACCAACATAAATTGTAGTGAGTATGGATATGTTTATTTTTGTATTCCTCATATATCATACTTTCTCCGCAGCGACCGCATGACACCTGAACATGAATAACAAAAAGGTGGGTAAGTGGATGTCGCTCTGCTGTACAAGTGGGTCACTACATAATGGATGGTATTAAATTTTAATTCAATGATATAATATCATCGTATATAAAAGCAATACTGAGTGAAGACGATTTGTCAGTGTGCATATTTTATATTAGATTTATATTAGATTGTTATTACTTATTATTTATTATTAATAAGGCAGCCGGTACCTTGAATTAATATTATAAAATTACAACAAAATAACTAGTCGTTATTCTTGGTTATTTAATATATAATTTCCTCTAAATAACAAAGAATAACATAGAATAACTATGAAAAAAAAACCTTGATTCATATTTTTGAGATTTTTTGGTTACAGAATAACCTACTTGCGTAGAACATTGTTGTAAGTTTTCTATGCTTAGCTACAAAATGTAAACATTTTATAAATTTTTAAGTACAAAATCATTTTTAAATTTTAAATTTTATAAATGTTGACAAAAATCTTACTTTAAATGCTTATAAAAAAAAATTATGCCTATGTATTTTTAATATTTTTCAACTGCTATTGTAACAATATATCAGGAATCTTTTACTCATTTTTACCCAACAAATAACATTTGATTGACAATTATAAAAAAAAACTAAAAAAATTGAAAACTGACAACAGCTCCGTAAACAGCTCAATAAGAGTCAACATTTTATGGTGTATAGAAAATGAAAATATAAACATTCAGTGAAATTTTCATGTAACTACAGTTATTTGTTTTTGAATTACAACAAAATAACAAATTCGCTACATGACAAATTAAGTGAAAATCCAATCTTGTAAAAGTATGAACTTCGAACGCTCATAAAAATTTAATTTGAGTTGCTTGTTAACATTTTTTTATTTTGATAAAGGTAGACAGATTTATGAGGAATTTTGTATTAAATTTCAAATCTTAGATTTAAATAGAAAATTTTATATGAATTTCTAAATCAAAATAATTTACTCATTTCCGTGAGTCTTACGTATTTTGTCAAAATTTGAAATTTAAATGCTTTAAATGCCTATTTGACAAAGTCTGGCATGAAGGTCTTCTGTTTAAACTTTGTAAATTTCTTCCTCCTACACTATTTCTACTAATGGAGTCATATCTTACAGACCGACATTTTCAAATACGTCAATGTTCCGCCACCTCAAATATAGCCTCAATTAGTGCAGGAGTACCCCAAGGAGGTGTACTTTCTCCTATCTTATTTAATATTTATGCTGCCGATCAACCTTCCACACAAAATACTATTGTTGCTGATTATGCTGACGATAAAGTCATATTGACAGTACATAATGATCCACTAATTGCTTCAAGAAATTTACAATCCCACCTAAATCTACTCTCAGAATGGTATGCCAAATGGAAAATTAAATTAAACAACAACAAATCCATTCACACAACTTTTACCCTAAGACACGGCCATTGCCCTAACGTAACTGTAAATAAATTACCTATCAATGCTCTAGACACTGTCAAATATTTAGGCCTAAACCTCGATAAAAGACTAACATGGCAAAATCATATAAGAAAAAAAAGATTAATTCTTAATGCCTGCTCCCGTTCTCTAAAATTATTACTTTCTAAAAATAAATTCTCATCTTAAAAAACAAAACTTCAAATATACAAATCACTTCTGAAACCCATATGGACGTATGGAATACAACTATGGGGATCGCCAAAAAAATAAAATTTAAATAAAATTCAGGCCTTCCAAAATATTACCCTTCGTAAAATCACAAATACCCCACCTTTCGTCTCTAACATGACCCTCCACAAAGATATAGGTATAAAAACAGTAGAAGAAGAAGCTGCTATTTTCTATAAACGATTTTATAATAAATTAGAAAACCATGTGAATCCTCTAATAAAAGGCTTACATATCTTGTCACTTCCTGGAAATCCCCGTCGCAGGTTGCAGGTGTAGGGATCATCTAACTTAGTCCTAATAAGTTGTCAGTAATCACATAATAAACAAGCTAAGTACTACCGATGGGTGGCTTCTTATTCACGTAACCCCATAATGTTTTGTTACCCAAATCTCACATATACTTATTGTGCTTAATTGTACAGATTGTATAATCCTTGTAAAAATAAAAAAAAAAAGGTTACTGGATTTTTAATATTTTTTATCTGTCTTTCAAACAATATATTAGAAGCTTTCTATTCAATTTTCAAGCTTTTTTACCCAACAAATAAAATTTTATTGACATTCATAGAAATAAAATCTAAAAAAATTTGAAAATGAAAATGTCCTTAAACAGTTTAGAACAAATCAAAATATTTTGAAAATTGTATCTTGTATAGAAAATGCTAATACAAACAACAAGTGACAATGTCATATATCTACGGTCATTTGTTTTAGAGTTACACCAAAAACCAAAATCGATTTTGAGTAAAAATTCAAATTTTCCCTTTATTTTTATGTGGTTTTTCCAGGCGCTTTTGAAAACCTTCCGAATGCACCAACTTGATTCACATTCCCATCGAAAAATTGAAGCAGCTTTACAGCCCCAAGCTGTTGGTGACAGACACAAAAAAATAAACACACACACATCTTTGTAAAATCAATACATTCATCGCTCCACTCAGAATCTAAAAGTTTAACATACTTATTTTATTACTGAAAATATTTTGGTAACACCTAATTTTAAACTGAGGAAAATTGCAATACAAGTATGTAATCACAGACAACAATTAAAAATAAAATTTTGAGAATGTGTACAAATGTGTAGTTTATTTCAATTATTTTCTAAATTATTTATAAACCAAAAACCACTACCAGGTTATTAAAATTAATAATAATTGTGTTCCTAAGCCAATTTTAGAAGAAAAAATCATGAATTTTAGAAACTCGTGATGACTAATATTCTACAATTCAATCAATTTATTCAAACACAAATCTTTCATTATTATTAACATGAGTCTTTACTTAGGTAAATCTATGCAAATTTGTGAATTATGTTGCTAAAATTGAGTGCTTGTAAGATGGTGGAATGTCTACATATCATATCCTACATTAAGTGGATATCATGCAAGAGATTTTGAAAACAATATAATAATCAAGGAATATTTGTTTTTCAATGATAGTTTAACTTGATTACTCGAGCCACAAGGAGCCGTGTGTAGTTAAACAAAATAGTGCAGTGCGCAAATACATTTTCAAGATTTCCTTAGGCGATATCATGGTTATATCATTTATACAAAAAAATATATATATTAATTTAATAACTTACCATAGTGTCATTATCGTGATTAATAGTTGATGTACTAACATTTACATCAGACTTGTTCAGAACTTTATCATTTACACTCAACATTGACTAAAAAAGAAAATTAATTTTTAAATGTTGATAAAATGCATTGTATAAAGATTTATATAAGTGCATACATTTTTTTATAGCATAAAACAAAGATGTTAAAGTTGAAACTTACCATGACTAAAAAAAAACTTCCAATTGTTAAAGGAATACATTCAAAAGATAAGAAAAATAAAAAACAGAAAAACACCAAATTAACTATACTCTTTTTTAAAAGAGAATATACCTGTCGGCGACCAATTTATATCTAGCAATTATTTATTCCTCACCAATTTTCCATTGTTAACGTAATCACATGGTTCTCAACGCACCAATCGAATCATTCGACATGCACGAAAGCGTATATTCTTTTTTGAAAAGGAGTACATACAGTGAATAGAGCTAGTATAAAAGTAAATTAGCTACTTACATTTTGTTTACATTTTTTTAGATGATTGGCAAACCCAGAAATAGTCTTTTTAACAGAATCGCACCATTCACATATAAATGTTGACTTGGCTTTAGATTTGTTAATAGTTTTCTTTAATATTGCTTGAGTTGTAGATGTATCAGTGAAATCCTATAAAATATAAAACTAGTAAAATAATTCTATATAATTTTTAAAATATTTAAATTTAAACAGTACAATTTCATCTTCTACTCCTACAATCCAACAGAGGCCATAATGAATCTGACGGTGTTTAGAATCATACTCCTGATACAACATTTGTTTTTCGCATTTACCACAAATCACCTAAAACAAAAAATCTTGGTAGGTATATTGTTGTAAAAGGTATTTGGTAAAATTAATATTAATATTTTTGAAATTTCCTTTTTAATTCAGTGCCAATTTATGTATAATAATAATATTTATTTATTTATTTATAATAATATAAATTTTACTGATTAAACAACTATCATTATAGATTTAACTATACTTGTAGTTGTGTATAAATAATAAATTAATGATACTAAGATAGTCATGTAACAAGTTCTTTAATGGAAATTATGCAGCATATGCTTTTTACAAAAGTAAAATATTATGAAAATCCAATAAGCCCGTCAACCAAAAATTATCATTCAAATAAATTTAAAAAGAAATTTTCTCACGACAGAATCATGACTGATGATATTTGTAGACACAAAATTTGTAACCGATCCTTGGTCGTCATTGACTTCAAGTTTGACATCAACAGTATCTCTGTCCATCACCGGTGTATATTAATTGAACGTTCAATAACCAATCGTCCTGATCATAGAACAAATTTTTAGTAAAGATTTAAGATAGACATATTATTATATTAAATGTCAGCCGAGTAAAAAATGTGAGCATTTATTTTACGCAAAATCTGACCATTCACGGTGACGGACATCTGCCGACGTGCAGAATACGTACTGAGTGCTGACTGCTGAGACTGACTAGTGACTACTAACTGACCATATGTCCATATACAAGTATAAATTATAATATACTTATAATATAACGTTAAACCAACTGTTCTATGGTTAAAGTTTAACCGTTAAACGTATATATTGTATTATATAACTGGTATATTGAACATGAGTACCGGGCTGGCTGGCAGTTGTAGCATCCCGGTACGTACAACCCTGGCGACTGGGGTTTGGACGTTTCGGTTATTACTTATGTGGTTATCACACCAGAGAGAAGGAACCCGACGGAACACGGACTATATGGGTGCATATAACTTTCCAGAAAAAAAACAGCCAGAATATAATTTGACAGAGTGTTTAAATACAGAAAATAAAAATACAGAATTTAAAACTACCAGAATATTAAAGTCCCAGAAAATATTGAAACAGAAAATAAAATGAACAAAAATAAATGGTAAAGAATGTAAAATGATAAGAAATTTATATCAGTAGAACGTAAAAATCCAGAAAATAATATTGCAGAAATTCCGCTGGGTGTATAATTCCAGAATGTAATATAATAGAACACGATTTTACAGAACGGTATTTCACAATAAATATTTTACCTGAAAATAATATTTTAGAAAATAGAAAGACCAGATTACCAGAACCACGTAGAACATCAGAAAGATAGGGGCATATCATGCCCGGGGGCAGATCTGATAAGAGAAATAATTTTCAAAAATATAAAAAAAATACCAGGGGGCGGGAATAATAATAAAAAAAAAGAACAAAATGACAAATTCTTAAAGCCTCGAAATTATATTGGTGTGAATTTTCTGTTTATGCCAAAGTGTAACTTGGTTATGAATATGATAATTTGCCATTTGCGTGTAGACTTGCAGTAGGTATTGGTGAAAATTTAATTTTTTTTTAATGCACCTGAATGTTAGACTGAAAGCATTCCATCCGTACTCACCACTTACCCAGGGCAGGATTGGCCCGGCGAGTTCCCGAGTAAAACTCGGTGGGCTGTTCATGAGTGTTTGGGCAATTATTTTATAAGACAATTTTAAAGACATTTATTTAACTCAGTGCGTCTCATAGAATGTAGGTCAATTTAGTAATGTTTAGTTGAAAATGAGCTTTTTAGGGCCAGTTAAAATACTTAATGTCTAAATCTCGGTGGGCTGATAGTAGGGGAGGAGTGGGGCAACTATTCGGCCCGGTAAATCTATAATAAATTGACCGGCTTTTGCATTTCGATTTAGTCATCATTCCTAATCACTTACACTTACACAATTACAATTACAATTAATTTAATAACAGGCTAGACTTGATGTGAGAAGTCATCCAGAAATGACACTCACTAAATATTAAATCTAAATTAAAATTAAAAACCAATTTAAATAAATATAAAATAAAACTTAGACAGGTATAGACTATAGACGTATAGTCGTCGTTGTATTTTGTGTTTTATCATAGGACAGCACTAGTCAATCAGATCAGATGCTAAATAATATATTTTTCAAATAAAAATGTCGACAGTTATTATTGGCAACTATTGTTTTGTATAACTGAAGTCATAGGAGCGAACATAAGACGTAGTAAAATAAAAATATTAATAAAAAAAATTATATTTAATTGTATTGAATTTTTTGAATGAATTTAAGATAATAGTGTTTATATGGTTTTATTTATACATATAAAATATACTAAAAATGCCTTCAAACTATAAAAATGTCAAAAATATGCTCTTAAAATCAATAATGAAAAAATGCAAAATAAAAATAAATTTTTTTTAATTATGCATGAAACAAATTTTTTGATTGGAAAGCTATGGTTTAGAAAATTCAGAAAAAAATGCAATTTATATTTAAGTTTGAACCCTAGTTATAAATAATAATTTCTGATGATGCATCGATGCCACGCCGAGGGGGCGGATAATCAGCCGAACCGAAATCTAAAATCTTAAATAGGTAGCTAATAATATTAGCTATATATATATAGCTAGTTATAACTATATAACCTAACCTTTATAATATATTATATAAACAATTTTTCACACTCACCCGTTATAATATGAAAATACAAAATATTTATAATTTATATTTATACCTACTGATTTTATTATGAATATATAATAATAACAAATTATTTTTGAGCAGCGGCTTACCGGGAAAGTTTCCGGTCGCCTGATAAGTAACCTTCCCTATCTAGCGCTGGACCTACCTTAAAAATATGTACCAAGGTACCTTAGAGCTTAAAATTATTAGGCTCAATAGTGTTGTGGTAGGTAATATAGGTATACTCAAACTCAACACTTGTGTTATAACTTATAACTATATTAAATATAATAATATTAATTATTCAACTAAAATAAGTCACCTTGAAAAAAAAAGTTTTTGATTATAGGTTCTAAGGTTTAAACTTTTTTAGTGAAAGTGAACTGTTTAATTAGTTGAACTACTTTTTTTATAAGTAATATTTTCATAACTATATACTGATAATAATAATAATTTATTTGAAAGGAATAAAACGGGCAACTGCCCAATAGTACAGGTAGGTAGTTAGAATTTAGATTATAATAATACGTTAAATGTTAAACAAAATAAATAAACTGAGGTAAACATAAAATTAATTAGAATAAGAATATAAACCAAGATTAAATTAAATAAGATCTGATATTACATAATATTATTAAAATAATATATTGTATGAATCATGCTTAATGGAGAAAAGAAGAAATCGACATCTGTAGAAAGTTTGTTACACGTGGACATGGCTCTTGGGCTCTAGGGATTGGAGAATACTTTAAATAGTTTGTGTTGTGTGATTGTAAATAGAACATGGAGCCCATGGAGGTAGAACGGTTATTATAAGCTGGAATGTTGAACGCTGTTAAATGTTGAATTAACATTATAATAGATAAGGAGCATCATAGGTGCAAATTGAGGGGGGCTTGGGGGGAGTGCTTAGCCCCCAAAATCTAGGACATTTTAAAATGCTATATTGTAAGGGTCTGCTAGCTTTTAATATATTCAGCCCCCCCAATTCAAAAATTGAAATTGCGCCATGGAGCATCAATTTTGTTATTGATTAATTTATAAATAAAAGTAAAATTTGCTAGCTCATGTCTAGTAGAGCTTGAGTTGTGAGGTTTAGAAAGGATCTTACCGGTGTCATGGCTTAATACATATATAAGGTTATTGACCGGTGTAAATTCATGCTGGTAGGTATATAGTTATATTGAATTTGAAAGCTATTAACTTTAAAAAACGATTTTGAACTCGTTCAATATACCTACCTACTGAATATTAGATTTAGTGTAAGGACTAAGGTCCAAATGGTTCATCCATATTCTAGAATTGATCTAATTAACGTTGAGTAGAGTACCTAGTTAAAGACTCAAAATCTTTAAAATTGGATGACTGGCGTTTTGCAAAGCCTAATACACGTAGTGATTTTTACCACACATTCAACTTCGACATGGTCTTAGAAATTAAGATTGTGGGTTAGGATTATACCTAGGTATTTTATGTATGAAACTGAATTGAGTTTATTATCAGTTATGCAATAAGTAAATATTGTATAATATGCTCAGTGTCTACCAGTAAAAACACATTGAATAGCAGTTATTAGCATTTTACCAACTAGACAAAATATTTAATTCCTCTTAGAGAGATAAACAGTTGTTGATTGAAAAAATACAAGCTACATTTTTAAATCGTCTGCAAAAAATAGGAAGCGGGATTTTTCCAAAATAGATGAGATACCGTTATTAAATAAGATTAATAGGATAGGAGATAAATGCCCACCTTAGAGAGTTCCCGGTAGGACTAATGTTGACTTTGATACAAAACCAATAAGAACCTTAATACAATTGGTTCCTGTTTATAGAGTATGCATTTAACCAAGACAGTTGTAGAGGATTACTAAAACCTAAATGAGCTGAAGCTAACTTATGATCTACTCGGTCGAATGCTTTAATATGTATTAAGTATTATATTATGTGTGTTTAGACTTAACCTTACTTAACAATAAATATAATTATACCTAAGGTTTAATTCTTGTTTTATTTCTTGCAAAAACCACAATGGTCAAAAAATAAAGTTTTATCCTTAATTATTTTAATTATCAAGTTATTTTATTATAATATGAAAACAACCGGTCATTGAGTGTTAACCTGTATTTGTGTTTATTAACACAATAATTGTACTATAATATAAAATATAAATGTTTTATTATAATTTTATAAATTAGCATTTACAATCTTTGTAAAGAAAATTTTATATAATTTTTTTTTGGCCTGGTACATGTTTAATATTTTGTGGGCGCCCTTGGTTTGACTATTCTTGAGGTAAACTATTAAAATTTAAACACAAAATATTTAAAACAGTTATCATAATAATTAAACAAATTAAATAATTACTTTTGTAGCATAATTATATCAGTTCTACATAGCGGACAACCTCTTCTACCTTCCCGCAACCACCTCTCAATACATACTCTACAGAAATGGTGCTGGCAAGGTACTACTGTAGTAGTAGTAATTCCGCTGTAGCAAATTATGCATAGTTCAAGAACTGAAAAGAATGCTTTAAGTTAAAAAATATTTACAAAAATGCCATACCTATGCAATGAAAATTAATTTAATATATCATACTTTCATTTTCTTGTTGCGGCTCTACTTCATTTTCAACTTCTGCATAAAAAGCTTGGACTATATTAAATTGCCTTCCGTTTCTCTCACGTCCATCTACTCTTGGTGTCTGGTTTCTATGTCTGCCATTATCTACACATAAATTATGATGATTATTTGTTTATTTTTATACATT